CACTTTTCATAAATAACTTACACGGCATTTGCAATTCTGTAGGAAGTCAGCATTCACGGTTGTAGCACTTATCTTTTTTACAGTTTCTATTTTCTAACTTCCAAATAAAGATAAGAGGAATATTTTGCCACAATTCAGGCTGGTTATATTTTTCTCCAAATACCCTTAGCTCAAGGATAACCTCCTATGTGACTAAAGTTGGCCTCCATGTACTTTATTAGGTGTTGAATGACTTTTGAAAAACGCCTCAAAGTGCTTCTCAATTACCCTGTGACTGACAAGCTGAAACCCAGTAAAATCCAAAGGAGTGTGTGTGTGTGCGCGTAAGATGTGTGATTTTCTACATTTTTATCTGACTTTGGGACATGTGTATCCTATTCAAGTATTATATGTGTATGTGTGGTTGTTAAATAAGTTATATTTAATATACTATTACTTAAAATCTCCACACCATAGTAAGAAACATCCTGGATGTTACAAAGCAAAGTTGAGAATGACTGCTGCCCTCTGTTTCTGAGCAATATCAACAATGGGAGAGAATTCTGTGTCGTGAATAGGAATATAAAATTTCTCATCCATCAGACAGCAGCACAAGAGGACAGAACGTGTGGGCCAGACTGGAACGAGAAAGCAGTGTTCATCAAACGGGTTGATAGGCGGAGTTATTTTAATAAGCCATGGACCAATTTGTGTATTTCATGAATGCTAATGAAAACGCCTTCGCAGTAATCACAGGACATTGTATGGTCTATTACGGTTTACAAAGCACCTCTAAATGCGACAGGATGGTGGAGAGAGCTGGGTACTCTGCGGTCTCCCCACACTACCCACCTTCCTGAGCTCGGTTCCTTGTCTCGGGGCCTCGTGGAGAGTAGACGGGATATTGCAGAGCTGCACGAGCGTGCAGTCAGCGCTTAGCCCTGATTCTCACACCAGCCCCGAAGGAGGTTGGTGTTCACACCTCTGACGTGCAGATAAGGAAGCTGAGGCTCAGAACGTTTCCGTGACGCAGCCAAGGTTACGAAATATACACGTGAACAAGAGAATCTGCATTTTCTGTTTCTTCTTCGAATACTTTTTCCAGTGCTCCCAGCATTCACATCTAGTAGTATCTTAGATTCAACGCCATGTTTTTCAGCACCATTTGGGATTAGAAAACAGCCCACATAGAGAAGAAGGGGAAACGACTCCCAAAATTCTACTTCGAAGGCAGCCGACAGCGGGCACAAATGGGGCTGGGGCTTGGCAACCCCTTCCGGTCCCAGCTGCACTCAGCAGCGCTGTTCTCCATCAGTCCAAGGATCCTGTCTTCCCCCTTTTGTGCGTTTGCCTTTGTTTTTCTTGGTAAAATGAGTTAACCTGCCTTACTCCAAGAGTTATAGTGAGCTTCCAATAAGATTATTCACTCAGCAACTCTGATAATATCTATTAAGTGTGCACATCTGCATAGAAAGCTTCCAATGGGCGGTGCCCGATATTTATCCTCAGCATCTAGGCCTGGGCTGCCCCGCCCACAAACACACACACACACAGAAATATGAGTAATATGCTCACAAGTGACAGTAACTGTCGGAAAGGATTCGTGGCCGTCTGTATTAATACTGTCTACACACTATGTGCTACATCCTTCATTCACTGTCCTCACTTGTTGCCCTTCGTTTAGGTGACAGTGTGAGAAATTAAATGTATCTATGCCCCAGAATCATGGGGGAGAATCTCTACTGAACGCTGCTTCTGTGCCCACCCTGGTTTGGGGTTCTGGAGACGCAGTGGGCAAGATGGACAAGGTCTCTCCTTTTGTGGGGCTGGCACTCGACCAGTGCTAGTCAGCAGAGAAAGACAGTTAACGCCCAGATGACAGGTGAGCAATTTCGGATGAGAATGAAGGGCTGTGAAGACAAAGTGATGGGAGTCTAGTGCCTGGGCTATCTTCTTCAGTTTTGGGGTGAGGGTAGGCCCTTTGGAAAGGGCCTACCTTGAGGAGTTAACTGTGTAAGAATCTGGGAGAGATGGTTCCAGAGGAGGGAATGGCTAATGCTAACGCCCGAAGGGAAGAATTGGCTTGTCACCCTCAAGGAACATCAGAAAGGCCATTGTGGCCAGAGGAGGCATGAGAGATGAGCTCCAAGAGGTGGGCAGGGCCCCCACCATGCAGGACCTGGGTAGGCCGCAGGTGTTAGGAGTTGCATTTGGCTGCACACAAAGACACCAACCACACAATAAACCCTTAATCTAATAAGGGTTTATTTTGCATACAACCAAACAGCCTCAAGGTGGGGTCCCTTGCTCTGCAGAGCCTCCACAGAACCTCCAAGTCCCACCTGCCTCTGATCTTTCTGCTCTGCCACCTTTGCTTTCATGCCTTTGTTTGCCTAGTGGTTGCAATGTGATTGCTCTGTCTTCTGCCTTCCGTCTAAATTCAAGGAAGTGTGAATAATGAAATGAACAGGAGGAAAGGCAGTCCTCATATCCAAAATGCAAAATTTCCCCAGATATTCCATAACAAACTTCAAACTTCCACTTACATTTCAATGGCCAGAACTGTGTCACTTATCTACCTCTAACTGCAAGGGAGACTGGGAGATATGGGTTTTGGTTTGTTTTGGTTTTTTTTCAAGCTAAGTTCCTTAAACAACAGTATTTTCTTCAGCAGGAATATTATTGACAAGACAGGTGTGCCACAGTCATGAGAAGTTTGGAATCTATTCTAGATGGGAAGGTATTTATGGATTGGTAGGTGAATCACAAGTTCTGCTTTGAACTTGTAAAACTAGACATGGCTGTTACATCAGTGTTCTTATCACTGTAGGCCCAGAACAGGTCTCAGGTAAAGATAAGAATCCTCCCAGGCCTCAGGGCAGCCCAGTGGTATTTGAGGCCATTAGGGCCGGTGGGTAGCTTGCCTTCCTCAGAAGGCTCTTCTTTTATCCCAGGGTTCCCCAGCAATACCATATGTCATTAAATAGAAGATGCCATTGCTCATAACATGCAACTTGATGAACCATCAGGGGGGAAATGCTGCCCATTAACAATAGCATAATGTTTTCTAACATAGAATTTTTATTTTACACTTCTTAGAAATAGTTCTTTTAGACTTATGAAGACATGACTTTCTAAGCATACAGCACTTTTGGACGTACATAAAAAGGAAAATGTTCATTATTTTAATTTTTTTTTTCTTAAAGCTTCTTTCCATTCAGAATCTAAGTCAGCATCTGTAAATTTTCTCACTCTGCTACATCAAGAGTGTTGGTGAGATGACAGTGTCTCTTAAGAGTGCTCCGCTATTAATTTCAGGATGTTCCTCTAAGCTGCTGCCACCCATCTGCAAGTTTTGATGTGGGTGCAAGACAGTGATGACTACTCATGACTGCCACCTGGCCAACAGCTATCCTGCCACTAACGGTAGTGAAATGTCGGGGGAAAGTCCAGAGTCAATGTATGGTATGTGCATTTCTATGTGCACCATGCTGCAGCTGGGCAGCGCCGTGTTACATTGCTGGGTAGAGAGGTCAAGAGGTGGGGTGGGATGTGAGTATAAAGCTTAGGGAAGGGGCTGGGATTGAGAAATGGGTTTGCAGGCTTGGCATCCATAAGCATTTGGATGACAGTCATACCTACGGGCCTGCACGTAACCACTAAGACAAAGTCTAGATAGACACGAGGGCTGGTACCGAGCTGCAGGGTACTCAAGTGTTCAGAAATCTAGAAGAGGAGCCAAGCAGCCGGACTGAGAGTTAACAGCCAAGGTAGTTCCAACACTGGATGTCAAGGTAGTGATGTGGCATGCCTGAAGCTAGGAGAAGGGGGACAGCGAGGTCAAGGGCTGCTGAGGTCAAGGAGGATGAGAGTGGAAGGGTGGCCACTGGATCGGGGAGCATGGAGTTCATAAGTGTCCTTGACAAAAGGGCTTCCTGTGGCTGGGAGCAGCCTCTGCGTAGCTAGCTGGATGATAACCAGAGGGGTTGGACTAGGTTGAGAAGTGAGGGTGGTGAGTGTTCAGTCTCTTTGAGCAGCAGTATTATCAACGGTAGATGTACAGCCACGAGAGGTGGTGGTGCTTCCTTTTCTAAAGGTATTGGGCACGTCTGAAGGCTAACCCACCAAGGCGGGATTGCTGGTTCAGGGGAGGATAACTGCAGTTGCAAGTGCTTGAGAAGCAGAGACGGATGCCATCCAGGGCACAAGAGCCAAGGGTCAGCTTTGGACAGAATCATGATCCATCGCCACAGAAAGATGGCAGAGTGGGCGCATACCCTCCGAGAACTCTGTCCAGGTTTCCAGGGTTCACAGCGCTGCCCCTC